ATTTCTTTTCAATTCTCACTCCAAGGTCCCAAGCTAAGCTCCTATTAGGAGTCCTCTTTGGTACGGTTGCAATCCTATAGTCCTTCTCTGGATCTTGCGGGATTTTAAATCGTTTGATCGCTTGCTCTATCACAGCGGTTGCGTTCCATCTAGCACCAACGACCGAGTCCTCGTCGACCGTCGTCTCCTCCACGTATCCAGCAAATGTATGCTGCCGGTCTGCTGCTGGTGGCCTTTCCACTTACTTTGATATGAGGTGGTGTTACCTTCTGCGTTGTGCTTCCTTCGTGTCCCTTTAGTAGTGGCCATAAAATGGCGGTCTTCGTCGTTGTTATCCCCAGCATCAGCATCGTCTATAAACAAACAGAGGATCGACATCATCACCGGCGATATTATCATCTTCTACCACCAATATGGTAGAGCCTTCTACGTTATTGCCGGAGGAGGATGCAGAGTACTTGTCTCTGTTCCTCTGCCGAAGGCTCTTCGCTGCTGCTGAAGGTTAGATGATGTGAGAAGGTCGGCAAAGTTATCATCCCCAAGAATGGGAGAAGCGGCCTGTCATGCCGCCGCAGCTTCCTCATCCTCTTATGTAATATCCTCATCAAAGACTGGTGCTGAAGCTACTTCAAAAATCGACTCCATCTCTTGTTGCCGTCACAAAGCTCGCTCTCGCTGCTGCTGTAGCTGGTTACCTCGTGGTGGTGGTGGTGATGGACTGAGCTATGTAATGAGGATAGTGATGAGCAGTCGATCGGTAACAAGACGGAGCGAGCCGAAGAAGGAGAGCAATTACTGAGGAGGATCGATGATGAAGAAGAGGACAAGAAGAATCAGGAAGAAGAAGAACTGCAAATTGGTTGGTGGAACTTGAGTTCAGTGGTCAAAAATACTCATCATTACTCTTCCCGCGAGTAAATTTACTCTTGACATGAGTAAACTGTACTCATAGACCATGAGTATACTCATACATGTTTTCGCAGGCAGTACTCAAATCCATGAGTTAGCTCATCCTCTATGAGTAAAGTTTACTCATAGTACTCGAAATAACTCAGAGCGTTGCTCATCCGGTCTGTGGAAATGTCCGTTTGACATTTTGCATAGAGATCAATATAATATGTGAGAATCCATTCAGAGTAACAAGGATATGCGTTCTCACATGACAAAAGTTGTGGAATGACAACAAAGTTCTGGTTGTTTCGTCTTATGATGTTCGGCGAATAAGGTTGAACAGACCATGACATTTATCGTGATATGTCGATGTAATTTTACTGACATCTTGATCGTTCACGTAACGACTCGATGCAGTATATTGCCAAAAAAAACTTGCGTCAAATTAAAAGGGTCGTAGCAAATTGAGATTGATTATAGCTGCATTTTTCGTATAAACTGACGCAAAGTCTTGCCCTGAATTGGTACAACTAGGATCTTGTTCTTCTCTTCTTCGATCAAAGAAATGACGTTACAGGGTTAACGAGGAACATTTAAATGATATGCTTCTCGCGATAGAGTTCGAATAGCTGCTTGTGCTGCAGTTCGCCGATCACAAATGAGAGCGTCGCATTTTTGTAGTGATCGCTGTTCACCGACAAGTTGTAAATCACGTCCTCAAGCAGTACCGCCTTGCCCACGAGGGTCCCTAATCATCAAGAATCTTTAGATTCCGACTGATATTCGAGGATGAATTTGGTACCTTGAGTCATCTTCACGTGTGAGAAGTGGACATGCAGGTGGTAGTACGTCGGTTGGTAATGCAAGTACATACGTATAGAACTTGGATTTACGCCAAATTTTTCCCTCAAAACCTCGAGGCCAGCATTGCTAGTTGCGGAGAAACCATACGTGAGGTCTGAATAAGTTCTGCGCTTGGAGGTCTGTAAAAGAATCAATTCTTTACCGAATGTTTCTCAGCAGCTTGAGGTTTGAGCCAGACAAATCACGCAGCGATCTCAGAGAGCGGTCACGGACAATTGCTAAGCAGTAGAGAGATTCCAGCTTTAACGATCAGGCGAGTCTGTCAGTCCATATTTGTAAACTTGAGGTGATTTATATACTGACACACCTTTGATGGATCTGACCACTTAAAATCGGGTAATAGAACGAAGCCGGTGCAAGGGTGTGAGTCTTCGTATACAATCCGCTCCGTCTCGCTCTTACTAAAAATATTTGCAAGATGCCCAATAATTCGCAACTCATTCTAATCATTGACAGCCAGCTTCCTTACTGGTCCAAAATATTGTAGACCCACTCCACATTGTCCGCAGGAATGCTTTCAATATATGCCTTCGTGATCATTCGATACGCCTCCTTAGTCTCCACTACCATATGATAGCTCTGGTCTGTGTGCTTGAGCACATGACGTTCCGTCGCCGGATAGATTAAATTAATCTGGCCATAGTACAATGCAAACGTCACGTCCACAGACAAAACCCGCAAATAATGCAATTAACGCTTGCAAACCTTGTACGGCTTAACATTGCGCGACACGTCGCCCTCGAACGTGCTGTAAATGTCATTTTCTAGGATTCTGTGCAATGACATATTAGATAATAGCTGGTTCAGATATTTTGTGTCCATAACTGCCGTCTGGATAATCAGCACCGCCGATTTCTTGTGATTGTCGCTTATAAAATTCCCCAATAGCGCCAACTCAGTGTCCGTGCGCTTGAGCACTCGTACCAGATTGAAATTGCGCAACATATTATTGGGGCCCACATTTTTTACCGCTTGTTGCCATAGATAAAGCGCACCTAGCACGGTGACCACCAGTGCAATACCGATGCCCAGACGCTCTGCCTGATCTAACAGATATGGCAAGATCATACTCGATACAGTTGTAAACGATGGCTGATTGGTCACATTTGCTAATCAAAAATTCAACCAGAAAGAAAAAACTGCAATAATGGCGAATCTCGAGGTAAAGTGTCCATTCTACAAATGCGGTCAATTTGCACTGACAAGAGATTTTCGTAGCATGACACTTCGCGCGACGAAGAGATCGCACGCCAACTACAAGCCCAGTACGACCAAGGAAATGGACAATCGATTGCTTTTGCACAACCAGTCACGCAACTTGATATGCAACTCAATTGCGGTGATTGCGGTACTACACACGTTGTGCGCAGTGTGACCCATGGTTCGACATTTTATTGCACAGTATGCAGTGCACAAAACAAGATTTTGATGGGCCATCGCGTCCCCGTTGTAGTGTACGACTCATATTGATATTGATATTGATATTGATATTGATATTGATATTGATATTGATATTGAGCATTCGAAAATGTGTGACGAGCTTATATGTGTGTGTTGTTCTAATTGGCAGTGGGCGCTCGTACAGCTTCGTTCCAGTCCCGATCATCTGCAATGTAATGTAGTTGCATTGTCGAATCCATCCATCCATGGCACTTTGCATTTTTGCCTAAAAAACCGTCATAATACATGTTCTTGAAACTCTAGAGTAACTGTCTCTCCCTTTAAACACGGTATCAGATTTTCTGCGACAGGTACGCGAAGATGGCGGACGAGGCTCAGATTGCAGCGAGTGTGCAAGCTCGTGCCGCACGAGTTCAAGGTCTGTTGGCGCAGCGTAAGAATGAAGAGGCAGTGCGTGTAGCTTTGGAGGATCCGCCACTTTTGTCCAAGAACGAAGTAGTAAAGGACGAGAATGCAAAGGTTGTGATAGGGGCTCTACTGGCTTGCAACAAGGGCGAAATGCAAAGAGCTATCGACTCACTTCCAAGCTCCTTGGAGGATATACTCATGAAATACATCATGCGCTTTCTCGGCATCGCTTCACAAAGTGCAATCATGCTCGAATGGCACCAAAAGCTGATGGCAAAGGCCGGATCGGGCTGTGCGATGCGCGCCTTCACTGATCGAAAACAAGTTTGACGAGCTAAGGGAATGCGACAAAAGCGTTAATCAAATACACTCCTTGCTTTATGGACACGAAGTAAAAAATAAAATATTTCTTGGTAGTCAAGGTGTTGTAATCCTTGCTACAAAATCCATAATCAGCCGCATGATCGTGTTGGAGTTTAGGTTGGCGCTGGCAAGATGCTGAATAATGTTAAAATGGTTGCAATTGTGAATAACATGGCGCTGAACAGAAGTCTAGATATATAAACTAGATCAGATATGTAAGAAAGTCAGAGCGATCTGTCGATGAGCACGCACATTTCCTGCTGCATCTAGCCATTGCTTGAGCTCCTCTGTGTCCTCGTGAAAATGAAAATCTTCCTCAGCATTCATCAACAACAATTGCATCCTAGCAAGGGGCGAGACTGCCCCTACTCTAGTGATTATCCTTCCGATAGACGCCTCTCGCAACTGCTCAACGCGATCCCCGAACGGTGGATTCGTAGCAAGCGCTCCATAGAACGAGGTATTGGCAAGTCGAACTATATTGTATACACCCGAAATGCCAACTGCACCTTTGACGAGCGTATGTATTGGTTTCTCTAACCCGGCAGCCGTCAAAAACTGTGGATCAGCAAGAAACTGCATGATCAAATGCGCGCCCGAACTGTGCCCCACTAGCACCAATTTGTCTGGATCGCCACCGAACTGCCACAACGTATACAGTGCAGTATGTCAGTCGTCGCGTTGACCACCAGAGCTTCACAACAATTTCGCAACCTTGGCAATGTTGCGGTGCAACCATGCGACAGCGGCAGCCACATCTTTGGCATGTTCAGGATGCTGGACTTCTGGTGACAAACGATAATTAATTGAGACGCCCACACATCCCGCTCGCACGAATGCTTGGTCGATGTTATGGTTTAGTCCTCCGCTCTTGTCTCCACGTTGCCACGAACCACCGTGCACAAACACACACGTCGGCAACTTTGAATTCAGCTTTATTTGCCGCGGTGTGGCAATATCTAAACACTGCAGAGGATGCGGGAGCTTGCTCACGTATGCCACCCCCTCCCACCTGTAGGCGCTCTTTAGCAGCAAAGTTAAGCGCGGCATCTATGAACAACAGTTTAGTCGGAAGCTCGAAATTATTGTGATATATTTTCCGCATGATTAGTTAGGGAAAATGGTGTGGTCTTGTCCCAAACACCTTACACACTGTATACCGTAGTTAACAAAAAGATTGCTTCTCAAAAAGAACACAATTTGGATAAATCCCATCACATTTTAATGTTATTGTGATTTCTCGTTCATTTCGAATTACCGTACCATTGTTACTACCTGAGATGAAGCGGTTCTTACTGACAAATTCCGAAAACAAGAAATGGGTGGAC